ATACATGAACACAATAGTTAACGGTTTTGCCACAAACATTGATAGATAGAGCCCATAAGCGCCGGATAAATGGACCATGGTCAATGCGATTACATTACGCCATACGAGTTGCCGTTTAAAATGTTTGCTAGGTGTCATCTCGGTGATGTTTATTTCATTATTCATTCTTATCATTTATGTTATTTATTAAACGGCATATATTTTAGTTATTGATATAAATGACAAATTAATGATTAAAATACATTACCTGAAGCAATGCAATCTTTATATACATGTAAGTATTAGACACTTGTAAATCAACAGTTTTAAAAGAGTTTCACTAATAGAGCTTATTGATATTTATTATTATTGTACGTATATAATATTTTTAATTATGCAAATTTATTCAATTTATAAAATAAATTACATTTCAATTAAGTGTGTATTTATTTGAATAGTATAGTTACAAGAAACAACTAATATTTATAAACATGATCAAGTTTTCAATATTGTTTATTAGCATATAGCAATTATTATTAAATTTTACTAAAATTTATTTCAATTAAGTGTGTATTTATTTGAATAGTATAGTTACAAGAAACAACTAATATTTATAAACATGATCAAGTTTTCAATATTGTTTATTAGCATATAGCAATTATTATTAAATTTTACTAAAATTTAACTTATAAAATTAACATTAAATTGTGATATCTTAATAACATACATAATTAATTTCATTATAAAAATAATATTTGAAAAAAATATTTACTAAAATATCAAATTACTTAAAAATTTAATTAAAAACCACAAACATATAATTTTACTTATTTAATGAAAAACGTCAATATGTTTTTAAAAATACTAAAATTTACATGAGCATATTAATTAAAATAGCAAGAAACAATATCAATTATTGTACTTTATTTTTATTATAAGAGTTAACATAAAAGCGGTAAAACATGTAAAAGAACATAAATGGCTGCCAAATAGACAACCATTGTAAGGCTATGGGATAATCGTTGTGTAGACCATAATATACGCCCATAAGTACAGCCACGCCATAGATAACAAACTGTAATAACTGTATTCGTGTTATGTATCGCTTCCACCATAAGTAGGGCTGAATCCAGGGTCCAAATGACGACAACAGGTAATAGCTATACATAACGGTATGCACTATAGAGTTGACAAAACAAACCACTTCGACCATAATGGTTTGCGGAAACAGTTTTACTGCTATATATCCGAAAACTGGGACTGCAAAATAATTAAATATTAAATAAATGTTATACATTATAATAGTTTTATAAATTACTTATAAAATGATGGTAAACGTGAAGAAAAGTGATTTGATTAGACTTTTTACGCAACACAAAGAATATGGTATCGAATAAATCAATTAGTTTTGTATAAAAGTAGAATATTTTTTCGGGTATTTCAGCGACCGCTTTATCCGACAACTGGTTACGAGCAGTCAGTCCAACAAACCAGGGTTTGAAGCCATAGTCGAGCCATTTGGCCGCCGTGTATGCAAAATAAGCATTAATAACAACCAATATTAAATTATATACCATGAGTGTTTTGCGCAAAACAAACGGTTTTTGGTTGGCCATTAAATTTGGACCCAATTTTACAACAAATATTAGCCATAATAACATTAGAGTTACAAAGAGTTCCGGTCCGCCCCCTATCAAAACATAGGGTTTAATCCTGTCGTCCGTCTCGTCGACCCAATACTGGTGTAATATATAATGCATTTTAGCCGTATATGTCGTCCTATTGTTTGCCATCATTTTTAAAATAATAATTTAGACTTTTATTGTAAATATAATTTGTGTGTTTGCGTGAAGAATAGCAAATTAAATAAGCTGTAAATGTCATTGAAATTATTAAGTAGCTAATTATGCAATAAACGTGTTTGATAATTTATTATTTATTAATATTTATGTAATTTTTAATACATTTTTCTTATTATAATATTGTTTTGACATTTTATTTTATTGATATTGTAATACCTATTAAACTAATGTAATATTTTATAATAACATGGTTGTATTAATATTTTAAATAATTGTAAGTACAATTTACATTTTATAATATTAAAATTTTGTTAATGACTTAAATATATGTTTATTAATAGATAGATAGAAATATTTTAAATTGTTTGTACATGATTATATAAATAACATTTGACGTTAATTATAATTTCTAAGAATATATTATTTTAATAACAATATTTAAAATTTACATTAATTGTTTTTACAAAACATATTTATTTATAAATAATTTATGTCCTTTTATTTACGTCATATATGTTTATTATATAAAAATGTAGCAATATAAAATAGTTTATTAATTAAACTCTAATTTATTTAATATCTTTATTATTTAGACATTTGACAATTTTATTAAAAAAATATCAACGTCAATTATTTATAATTATTTATGGAATCTAGTTTAGAAAATATTATTAAATAACATTTACTGAGAAATAATTACAATAATTACAATAAATATTTAAAATATATGAGTTATAAATCTAGAAAGTATTACTATGGGACGATCATACATACATATAAATGTAGATAAACAATTAATTTTAATTTTATAGATCATGTTTGCGTATTATATCTCCAACGATAATGTGATGCCCGGGGAAAGTGCGAGCGGACACTCAATTTCAAACACTATTAGCAAATTTACTGAACACGAGTTAATTACCGACGACCAGAAACGTCGACTAAACGGTATGTATTAAAATAATTAATTTTGCATGTTACAAATATTAATAAATTGTTTATTCCATAATTAATTTAGAAGTACAATATAATATTAATTATATTTTAATATGATATTTCAAATAATTACATGATAAAACCTTTTAAAAAATATTAATATTACCTAATTTAGACGATGAAATTAACCATGATAATTCCGTTTCCACAAGAAGGTAAGTCAGCTATACAACAAATATTAGTTGAAATAGACAATGTATTAACAATTATTTTAATATTGTATAAATACAGTGATAGTTCAAATAACATCACCAAAAACAATGAGCAGGATATCATGTATAATAATGCAAGCAATAGCAAAATGCCAGAATATAAACTAAAAATTTATTGGCTTTATGTGGCAAAGTTCATAATATTGCACCTAGCTGCTATTTATGGTATCTACCTTGGCATAACATCGGCTAAACTAATAACCTTATTGTACATGTACATTGTCGCTGTAGTATCAACATTAGGGATTAATGTATGTATCATTTCAATAACAAAATTGGGTGCATTGAATTTTGTGCATAATGATAAAAATGATCTATGTGCAAATTATAATGACTTAAGTTAACCCAAAGGATTTATATTTAGTTGTCTAGTCTAACAAAATATACTAATTACGATACATTTACAGTTTAATAGTAACATTTATAAATATTCTCTCTCTCTCTC